CCCTTCTGCCGCGTTTTGAGGTTTCTCTAAGATAGGACCCTTCTCTGAGCCAGTGGAAGGCCATTCAGTTGCAAGGAGGGACTGAAAAACATGAAAGTGAAACTTATGAAACACTGCTGAGCCAGGAAAGACGGAGAGTCCATCATGGCTGTGGTACACAGGTCCTTTTTGGGGGGAAAGCACAGAGCCAATGGCTCTCGGAGAGAAGGTCAAGAAATACGGGGATAACGAGTGAATTGCTGCAAATCACACTGCGTTGGAGACTGAAAAACTCCAATTTTTTTAATGAACTCTGCAAAACCAGAGTGAAAATGAAGAAGGAGTGGGATGACAACGTGTCATTCCATGTAAAGTGCATGAGTTACCTACATGTGCACTTCTTCTCTTTGGCTTTGAGGGAAGATCACTGCACAGACTGTGAAAGAAAGCCTGGGAAGGTTGATAGCAGGGACAGAAGGAAATAAGAGTTCCCAGAAATGAGGATCAACAAAACTGTGAGGAGCTTGATCTACTCTAAGTAGTAAGGAGGTCGCCTGCAGCCCCGTTCACCAAAATTTGGGCACAACTCTGGGGCAGAGGCACATGGCTGCATAAGCTCCACTTGAGTATTTTGAGCACTGTCAGAGTCTGGGCCACTACTGGAGTTACTGAAATGAAGAGACGGTATTGAAGAGAATACCCTTACCTGTGACCATCTGAAGAAGGCAATAGGATGGCAGGACCCCTGAGGTGCATAATCCCCCTGGATTTGGTGCATAACTAGGGGCATGACCATGCCCTCCTCTTTGGAGAGCATTTATAATGTACTTTACATGGTAATTGCAGTTCATTATTAACATTTCCAGCTCCCAGTGTGTTAAGGATACCCTCCTCCCCAGCTCCCCATTTTCCACTCTGCTGTATTGTTTGAGCCATGAAATCACCAGCAATACTCCCTTTTGGCTGCATCCCTGGACAGATGCTGCCTTGCTTGAGGAGGGGTGAGGCACAGCCGATTAATCTGTGCTCAGAGAGGCTGACTGTTGGGATTAGTGCTTCAGATGCTCTTAACATCTGTAGCTCCGGGACAGCCCCAAATTCATCAGCGCTGGAAGCTGGAGGGTAACAGCAAGGCTGGTAAGAGCTCTTATTGGGGGGGGTTGCCTATTGAATTGCCGCTGCCAGGTAGCAAGACAAAAGGGAGATTTTATGGGAGAGATGGCAGCCATGCCATTATCTTGGCACTTCCAAATCTGTCGTACAGTTTCTTGCCTGTGTCTGTGATTCCTAAGACTAAGGAGGGTGGTGTTGGCTGTGTAGAGGGAGCAAGCTGAGAAGCCAGGGAGAGGGCTGGAAGGACCTTGCAGGGCAGGCACAATGGAAGTGTGTCAGCCCTGAAAGCCTCAAAGCTCTGGTTCCTTGTGCTTGGGAGGTGGGATGAGGGTGGCCGTGAGCCCTGGCAAGTCCCAGAGCTTGGGTCCAGCCCTTGCAGTAAAGACAAGGTGCTGAGGAACCAGAGGTAGAGAGAGGGAAGGTGTTACTGGGGACTTATCTCATGTGGTTACTGTGGTTTATCTCCCTATCCAAAACCAGTCCCTCCCTGCTGATCTGCTTATCTCAGCCGGGCTTTGTTACTCTGGGCTTCCCTCCTTGCTCTGACTCCATTTTTTTCCTGCACTAACTTTTTGTTTCTCTTCATCACAGGTTTTATGAGCCTTTTGTTTGTGGAGAATGGCAGCACAGGGGATGAGAAGAGACTTCTGAGCAGCCATGGATGTGTCACAGCTGCGGGTAAGGCTCACCTTGTGCAAATCACGACCTCCCACCATCCTTCAGAGTCCCCAGCAGCTACGGGAAAAGAAAATACCAGCTCCGTCTATGTCTAGTGAGCCTGTTAGCTGGGAATGTCTATCACTGCGGGGGAACTCCAGGAGGCTCTTTAGGATTAAGCCCAGAGAATGCCTGAGCTCCTGGCTTAAGCCCCCCCACCTCCCTTTCCTGCAAACAGCCCAGCCTGCCCCTCCCAAGCCCGCCCAGGGCCGGCGGCTGGAGGCATGCAGGGGCTGTCCATCTCATGAGTTAATCGCCTCCTGTTCAGATGTCAGGAGGAGATGAAGCTGCTATAAATAGATTGTGAAGCCCTCATGGTTTCAGCTGTGATTCACACACACGGCAGAGAAGCATTAGGAAGAATTAACATTCAATCGCTCAGGCACTTTCCTAAGAGCAAATGCCATTCCGTTCCCGTCACTTAATCTCCTTGCCCAGGGGAGGTCAGCAGCACTTTCTGGAGGGTCTGAATGGGTCAAATGGACAGGGAAACCTGGAGCAGGACTGTTGAGGAGCTAAAAACGGCCACTTCAGCCGGAATGACTGAGCAGCACCTGCCCATGATAAGCAGCTGCGTTTAGGAGCATGGCGAGGCGCTCTGCACCCACCTTACCGGGGCTGAGATCAGACAGTGTGGTTTTGTTATGGTATGTGTATGCTGAGACACCTGACAACAGCCTTTGGGACTGAGACGGCTTCTGGTGATGGTATGTGCAGGGGACTGGGGCTCTTTCTTGCTCTCCCTAACCAGTGTTAAGATGTGCCTCTGGCTGAGCGGCTCGCAGGGTCTGTGGTAGTCTGCCTAGGTGAGCATGGTGGGGCAGGACAGCGTGGTCTATGTGAAATCCCCATTTCTTCCCCCCTACATCCTAATTTTTCAAAGCTCGGGGGGAAAAACACAGAATACAGCTAACCTACCCATGGGAAGTTGTGTGCACTTGTTCCTGCATGTGTTTGCATTCATTTGCATGTGCCTAAGTGCTTGGTAGCCTCCCTCCCCCCGCCTTGCTGTGTTTACGCTGTTAGCAGTGACGGTCACTGAGCAATGTACGTGAGATGGAGAAACCAGCTGAAAGGGAGGTGAGACCAGACAGGTCCTGGAGTGGGAAGTGTGAGGAGTCTGTCTGTACGTATCTATCCATCTGTTTGTCTGACAGTCTCCCAGATACAGGAAAAGAGTGGTATTTTTCCTGAAAAATAGGGTCCAGCATCTCCTCGGGGTGATGGCTATTTCTCCCTCTTTTGCATATTTGGTGTCCCATCAATAAAAGGCAGATCCATATCTCTAGTTTCATAGCATTGCCATGATTTAATTGCGTTGCCACTAGATCATGGGTCAGAGAACAGAAGAGACATTCAGGGCACTCATCATCCACAGGAGGTAAAGGGGAGTTTGGACTAAAGGATGAGAGTTCAGTGTTGGCATCTTTGGGTCCTCGGTTAGTGGTCTAGGGAGTCTGGAGTTCACGAGATGAGGCATATACCAGAAAATCTTTTCCTTTCACCCCGCTTTTAGAGAATCAGGGTTTCTCAGTGAGGCAAGGAAAGAGGCAGAAAAATGGTCAGAGGAACTGCAGGTTGGTGGGGGAGTCACCTTATTATGATGGGACTAAATCCAAGAAAGTCACCCCATGACTACTCCAGGGCAAAAAGGGCCCTATCCCACTCCTTGCTGCAGGAAAACAGCATCTCATTGCAGCTCTAGGCAACATCTTTCAGCATAAACTGAAGCCTGCCAGCATGGCTTCAGCATGCCAGGATTAAAGAGATCTCAATACACATCTCCACACTGCTCCTTGTGTGGATATGATCTCCTGCCTACTACGGCACTGTATGAGGTTGGTATATCTAAACCAAGCTGGTTTTGGTGTCAAAATGGCATTCCCCTATTTAGGAACGCATGTCACTTAGTCTGATAGCCGGTATATGGACTGCATGTGTGCTCTGGCAGGCTCAGGTCTGAATGGGTCTGCAGGCACCTGTATGGTCTTAAGCCATCCTTGAAATCTTAATTATATTATGGAAGAACCTGAAATAAGCCGCCTTCAGAAATTTGTGCGGGAATGCCTGAACAGGCTGAAGGGCTTCAGAAATAATTGTGACGTATTTCTGTTATTGTACAGAAAGTGGAATTGCAACCTTGAGTTTCAGCAGGGGCTAAATTCCCCATTTGGATCCTTACAGAGCCACAAAGCCACGTACAAGTCTGGAAGTGGCTCTGCAGATTCCCTTGTTGTGAGGACAAGGCTCAGTTGACTTGCAGAAGCTTTTGCATGAACTATCTTGTATCTTAAAAAAGAAAGAAAGGGCCATGTGGAAGTCTAAAGGGAGTATTTTAGTCTGTCTATCCTACAACCTGAAACAGCTTCGGAATGTGGACCATATTGGATGCAAATGGGAGGCCATATGTTTTATAACATTAATTGCCAAACTTTCAAAAGCACCCTATTGACCTCCTACAGTCAGTGAAAGAGCACAGCTCATGCTTAGGCACCTAATCATTTGTCATCTGTTCCTTGTTTTTCTTCAACATTTATATGGTAGTATCACCAACCTGGATGGTCTCCAGTGTTGTGAGAGCTGCACAAACCCAAAATATTAGCCAATTTTCCAAAACATGGCATCTGTAAATGCCAAGCTTACAGATGGTATATGATATAATGGGAATTACAGGCACAAAATAGAGGGGTAAGGGCAGTACATGGTGAAAAATTCCATCATTCATCTATAAAAGCTGGATCTGCTCCGATGACCTGGCTGGTGGCTGCCATGAACAGATGCTGGACTCCGGAAAAAAGGGGTTGGAAAGATATCCAGGAATAAGTCATGACAGTTGAGAAGGGAGGAAATGAGAGCTGTAACAGAATCCTGCCAGCCTGTGCTGATTATGTTTACCTCCAGGGAGGGGAAAAGGCAGGAGTAGATGGTTTTCTTCTACAAGAACCAACAAGGCCAACAAGGTAAGGAGAGTAAAGTCTTGCAAACCTCACTGGAAGACAAGAAGTCATCTCTGGTTCCAGTTATTTCAATGTGGTCTGGTATGCCCAGCTCTGGTGCCACAATAGTACTGGAATTAGTCCATGTCCCAGCAGTAGCTTTATTCTCAGATGTAGTGTGTGCCTCTTTCACCTAGCTGGTATGCCTGAGAGGCAGTTTTTCTCTCTCTGAGATCATATCTTTTCTGCTTACAGCAGGCATCCAGCAGCCGGAGCCTCCTCAAGCTCACAGTTATGGAGGTGAAGTGGATTCACGTGTTGGTCATCATCTTCTTCCTGTTGTCTGTTGCAATGACGGGCTGCTTTCTGTGGCAGTACAGCCTCCCCAAGGTGGAGCCCAGTGAGTAGTCATCTTTAAGCTTGGCATTGTTTGGCACGGTTGGACTCGATGATCTTAAAGGTGCTTTCCAACCTAAATGATTCTATGAAATTTGTGAGACCAATAAACACCTTTCTCCCCACGTGGACATTTCCCCAAAGAGATAGAAACAATTCAAGATTGGCTCTTTGCCTATGCAGAAGTGTCCTTCAGCTTTGGACAACACAAGCAAGAAGGCTAGTGCTGACTGTTGGAGGAGGTTAAAGCTTGTTAGTGTGTCTATTCAAGTCACATACGCTATCTTTGAAATGTTTTCCAGGCCCATCTGTGATGCAAGTGAGATCAGAAGCTGTGCAGATGTGCCCCCGCCACCCTGAACCAGTACCGCTGGATCACCCAATCCCCATTCTGAAGGACGCATTAGAGAAGGTCTGTGAGGAGAAGGGAACAGAGGGAGACAGAGCTCATGACTGCTTTTCTGAAGGTGTAAAGGGGACAATATGTATTTTGCCCCTGAGTATCTCTGGGGAAGGAGGTGGGAAATCAAGGAGGTGGAGAACATGTGAATCTAGAAATGGGTATATAAATCTCCTTCACTGAACATACAGAACAGGTCAATAAGCAGTTATCTTATCCAAAGGGTAAGCTATGATGAAGAAACATTATTACTTGTCCATCAGAAGGTCTGGTGAGCCTACATCAGCACAAAATGATGGCTCTTGGCATCTTGTATACTATTAGGCAGCCCTCATGTCCTGGGAAGTAGGTGACTCATGTAACTAGTTCCTATTCATCAGTGACTGCCAATTCCTTATTTTATTACTTTGCTGGCTTTCCCCATGCCACCATTTAAAAATTGAAAAGCTACTTGTCGGTAACTTCAATGAAGGGAATGGAGGGGAAGGGGAAGAGGAAGAGGACCTGCATCTGAATGAAAGAGAGACCTGCTTTTCCTCAGTATGATATACTGTCTCTGAAATTTTAGCATTGTCTGAAATTCTGGTGGGCTCTATTTGCAATGAGGAAATACTGCAGCATTGCCTTGACTGTATGGACCATAAGGACAGCCGTGCTCTGACAGGACGCTCCTGAATTTGTAGACCCCTATCACATAATATACCTTCTCATTTGTCTCTTTCTCATGAGTAGCTTAATTAGTCATAATAGCTGTCCCACAGCTCTGATCATTTTTTTTACCCTTCTTTGAATCTTTTCCAGCTCTAACATACTCTTGCGGAGATGAGGGAAATCAGTATTGTATACAGTACTCAAGGTGCAAGTGGATCAGGGATTTATACAGTCATAAAATGGTGCTTTCTGTTTTATTTTATGCTACTTCTCTAATAATCCCTTATATTTGATTTACTTTTTTTTCTGCCATAGGGCACTGAGCAAATGTTTTCATAGGAGCATCCATCATAGCCCCAAGGTCTTGTTCCTGAGTGCTAATGACCAGCTCGCTGCCCATCTGCGTGCATGTGTTGTGAAGTTAGGGTTGTTTTCCTGCATGCACACTGCTTTACCTACACTGAATTTCGATTGCTGTCACTTCACATTCACTTTTATGAAGTCTCTGCTGCTGTCTCTGGGGTTACTGTAGAGGGGTATTTTATTATTCAATTAGGATTAGTCAGAGAGCTGGGGGAATGTGCAGAACATTGAGTATCCATCAGAGAGTCATCTAACCTCCCTTCTTTGTGCTCCTCAGAAATGAAGTATCCAAGCACTTCTTTGAAGTAGGCTGGTGAAACTATTCCTATTTTGCAGATGGAATAGAGCACAGAGAACCTGACCACTAGATGCATAGGAAGACATAGGTATTCGAAGGGGGCTTAGGCACCAGCACCTCAAAAGCATATCTTCAGATGCCCTTAGGTTCTGCCTAAGTCTGTAGACACTCGAACCCACACTAAAAATCTTGCACTACCTGACACAAACTACCATCCTGTGCCAGGCCAGGGACCCTGGAACTGGGACTCTGGACTGTACCAGGTGCGATTATATTGCATACAGGGGAGGACTTTTTCCTAGCCCATGGCAGCTTGAAACAGGAGAGTGACATTCACTCATGCATGAGGCTTAAGGAAACATTTCCCTTCTAAGGGTAAATACTTTCACTTATCAGAAAGGCCTACGTTTTCCTCAGAAGAGTCTTGCTAGTGGCAAAATCCAAACGCTGAGTATTGGATCCAATGGCACTCGAGTCTAGAAGAGCATCGTGTATTTCTGTCAACTTTCTGCAGGTCCAGGCAGATCTACATGCCAGACTCTCTCTGAGAAAACTCTAAGGAGGACCATGCCTGCTGACGTGAGACCAGTCTGTTCTCTGCAGGTGCTGATGTACCTAACCGCACTAGATGGGCCACTGGCACATGGGGAGGGGAGGGCAAAGAACCGCCACGGAAGGACTTGGCACGAGTTGATGTTTCCGCTGCTGGCTGTCAGTGCACCTCACCAGTCCAGTGAACAGACCCTGAGGACATGACTCGGCTTGGCCTTTCTTGTCTCAGATGCTGGGCTTGGAAGGCCGTTTCTTATGCCTTAACCTTTCTGTGCAAAAGATAACTTATGCACGACGATGACATAGCTTTGAAAAAGTCATAAAAGAGCAAGAGCAACGCATTCTGCTTGCAGGAGGTGGGTGGAGCACAGCTGGCTGATTAGGTCTACACAACCCCGGCACAACAGGGAGCAAAGAGCAATCACAGCCCTCTAGTTGCTCAGTGCTGTTTCTCAGATTGCAATTTAAACAGGAGTCTAAGCTCTAGCACGTTTCATGGCATGAAAAGCATCATGGGATATTTGAAAAGTCTGAAGCTTTTTCTCATACATCTTTGAACCTAAAATACCAGTGCAAAGAACAGATGTGCACAGTACAATTTAAAAAGGAAGAAATTACAATTATTAGGTTTTAGCGTTTGTTTTTAATCATATAAGCATCACAGGTATTACAAGGATGAGCACCACATTCTTCTAAATGGTGGACATGTAGACTGAAAGAAAGATACTGGATAATTCAGCATAAGCAATTCAAAGGAATAGTACAGTTAAAAGATTTTCTTTTGCCAAAACACATTTGAAAAAATCACTCTCGAGTGCTTGGAAGTAAGGAGGGCTGATGGTCTGGGTCTTCTACTGCCTGTTGCAGACTAGATGCATTATCAGAGTCTTCATTTGGAAATTCATAATTTCCCATCATTCTCCAGGTGGATATAATGCTGCGCCAAAAGATTCATAGCTCTGGTCTCCCTGCCATGTCTGCTATTGTTATCTACAACGACACTGTGCTCTGGACAGGCAACTTCGGGAAGAAGAATGGTTCGGACCCCTCCTCAGTGGTGCCCAATGAATACACTATTTACAGGTGAGACAGATGTATCGCAGGCATGAGAGCTAGAAAAAGAGCAGATACGCATCTGGAGATCTGATATCTGGGAATAGAGCCACTGTCACAAACCACATCTTTTACTGGCTCAAGTCCACTGCAGAAACCTCTTGTGGGTTACACTGACACTTTGTGAGACAATACTTCAGCTAGTCCCCAAATTATCATATGCTTGTGGCTTACTCAGTTGTTTACTTTGGGTTTTATTTTTTATTTTTCATTTGCTGTGACAATATTTTAAATTGGAATAGCAGTGACTGTCCTGAATAACGTGAAAACATACTGCTCCTTACATAGGAGTCTCCATGCTTTGAGGATGCCTAGGGCATAAATCTCAAGACTGAGAGCTAGCACAGATTTTGTGAGCAACGAGGAGACAGTGCCATAGGATAAAAAAAAAAGTTCAACCTACCAAAAATTGGGGTTTGGGAAGAGAATCTACCGAACACATAAAGTAGACCTGTATGCTTATTCATTCTCCCAGTGAAGTCAAAGCCATATTTGCCATTATTTTTTAGAGAAGATAGAATCAAGCTCTTAGTGTGTGTTAAACAAAAACAAAAACAAATACAAAGGAAGTGTTTACTTCCTTTAAAGATCTATTTTCAGTGATTTATAACTGTGCTATATGTGAAACATATGGGCTGCACTCTGACCATCAAATGTTGTCCTCAGAATAAATAATTTCAGAAAGTTTCAGCAGCTGCGATTACCTGTTTTTTCCCCCTCTGTAGCATGGTAAAATCCCTGCAGAGGTGACCTCATGCTATTTCTTCCAGAATCACAGAATGGTTTGAGTTGGAAGGGACCTTAAAAGTCACCTCGTTCCAACCCCCCTGCCATTGGCAGGGAAAGGGGAACCCGTCCCTGGGTGGGCTCGAACCACCAACCTTTCGGTTAACAGCCGAACGCGCTAACCGATTGCGCCACAGAGACACCCAAAAAAATGCCTATTGCCAGTTGGCATTGTTTATGGTTGGAACTATGACAGTATCTGATTGTCTTCAAAGCTCTGGCTTTCATTCTTGATTAATGAAAGCATTCTTGGCAAATGGTTTTGCTCGAGGCTGTATTGCGCAGGTCCAAGAATTTCACCTCTAACGGCACAATACTCCTGCCCCCAGCTGTCCCTCTTAATCATGGCCCCGTTTCTGAAAACCAACAAAATAGAACTGGACTCCTGTTCCAGATTGTAAAATTGACTGTGTTCTGAAGCCACCCAAATATCAACTCTGAATATGAAATGTAAAACTTTATGGCATTTTAACCTTAAAATTCCAATAAACTGCTTGCAACTTGTTCTGGTATTTACTAAGCAATAGTTTACAAAATATGTCATCTTATGAATACCAAGTGAACAGAAAAAGTTCTGTAGCCCACTGCACTATTGGGGAGATACTACTGAAGGTTATGTTGCAGTCCATAAAGGCCAGAGTTAAGGATATTAGTTCAAGCTTCTTACCTGCATTTTAGCCATTCTCTTCTGAATTAGCAAAGGTGTTGCATGTAAAGTTACAGACAGTGGGTCAGTTGGGTGATCTCATGTACTGACCATCTTTCTTCTTAATTCATGGATTTCTTAATGCTTAATTTCTATAAATGTTTGTTCCTTAACAGAATTGCCAGTATCTCCAAGATCTTTCCCACCATTATGTTGTACAAGATGTGGGAGGAAGGAAAAGTCACATCTCTTGATGACCCGTTGGAACGTTATGCCCAGAACTTTGTTATTAAGAACCCTCTGGGAAGGCTCAAGGAACCGGAACAGAGATACACAGCAGATGGGCTGATTTTTTTGGAAAAAGGCTCAATGCCACTTAAGCCATCACGTGTTACCTTGCGCAGAATGGCCAGCCAGCTCTCAGGTGAGACCACACCGCTACCTCCTTGCCCTCTGCCCACCAGTATGCCACTTGAACGAGACCACAGAGAGAACAGACCATATGCCGGGGATAAAAAAGGTTGCTGCTGAGATCATTTCCCGGTATGGACCCTGCACCTTTGCACTTCCCAGAGGTCAGGCAGGATCCTTGGAAGCACGTTGTCAGCAGCTTCATGAACTGCTAAAAGGAAACTCTTGTCCAGGCCACCTGCTAGGAAAGGGGCCAAGCTGCACTGTGGGCTGGGGAATTGTTTTTCCCATGCAAGGTGAATATCTATTTCTTTCAACACAGTAGCATGACCTGAAATCAGGCTCCAATTGCATAACAGCTTTTTTTACTCCAGCCCAGAGTGCTCTCATTTTTCTGAGATGTAGAGTTGAGGGTCGAAGTGGCACCAAACCTCTTTGCTTTGAACAGATAGACCCTGATCACTGAGCTAAATTTAGCTGTCAGTGTGGTTCCTGATCTGGGATTCCTGAGCTATTAATAGCTTTGTACTTGCTGGCAGAAGACTATTAATCTGCTGCTACCTTCATAATTGGGTAACTCTTACATTAAGGTAGAAGGAGCTCACAGGACTCAGGAGAACTTTAACCTTTCTCAGAAATAAAGCTGTTAATACTTGACTGGGAGATTCCAGAATTTAATGGCCAAAGAGACTGTGCTGATAGCTCATGTCGCATTTTGATTAAACTCCGTAGCACCTGCATTATTCCAGATTGGAATAAATGCCTTAAAATTAGGACCTAAGATCAGAATAGCATGTAGGCAAATTGCAGTACCTCAGGACAGGGTACAGCATCACCTGAAGAAAGCCAATATCAAAATAAGGGTTCCCCAAAAAGGAACGAGGTAACTGAAACCTGGAAACAAACAGACAAACAACCCACAGTGCCCAGTGGCAGCAGAAGGCAGAAAGAAAGGGGCGTGCACAAGCCTGCCCAGCCCCTCTCCCTGCAGACAAGGTCTTGCTCTAGCCAGCCTGACGATGTCCTCAGGGGCATGAACGCTGCCTGGTCCCCTCTGACTCTCAGGAGCACCCGGAGCTGGTCTGGCTGCTCCTTGCAGGAGCAGCGTGTGCTGGGGCTCTGCACCACCTAGTGAGGTGTGAGGCATGCCCTAGAAATACTTGGAGGAAACATATGTTAAAAGTGTTCCTGCTCATAGCATAATTGCTTGTGATGTGCAGCCATTCCATTGCTTCCATCACTGTGCTGGATTTGTGCCCCTGCTTAGCTCCTTTTACGTTCCTATGTCTTTTTTTTTTTTTTTTTTTTTTTAAAATGTGGCCCAAATTTCAGACCACACCAGCAGGGCACACCAACCAGTTTGGACACTGACAATTTAGTAAAGGAGAAGCACAGTTTCAAAATCCTGACTGAAAATCAAATGAATGTTGAGGTCACATGTTACATTTCCTGTCTTTCAAAAACCAGAAAGGAATAGGTTCTGCTTAGCTTCACGATCAAAGCCACTGCATGACGTATTGTAAAGTGTTTTTCATCTAAATTCTTCCACTGGAAACTGATCTATAATATATCCTCATTATCTGGGCTTTTCTACATTGCATATTACAAAAGTAACTCCAAAGATTTTTCTTCTCAGCACTTGATGGGTACATTGCTAGAGGGAAGTTCCAGCTTGTTAAGACTGTGATTTTCAAATATATATGAATGACAGTAGGAGCCGCTATTGTAAATTATTAACAGCATGCTTGTCACATCAACTAGCAGCCGATGAGGTATAATTCAATGACTGCGGATTTTCCGTTATGCTCACACATTCTCTGGTTTACCATTTCTAGTGAACCTCAAGACAGACACCGCACTGCTGGGCATGGTGCTGGTGAGCTCTCCCGCTGGTGCAACATTTTCTTTGCTGCCACTGTGGCAAGTAGGAAATGAAGGAGCCCATTTTCTACTGGAAGATGCTCAGTGCATCTCTTATCTGGTCATTAAGCTGCACAAATAACTACAGACCAGAAGCAGAAAAAGTGCTCTTGTTCCAGTTCAATTCCCAAGGTCAGGCCAATTGAGAAAAACATGTGTTGCTGCTACAAAAGAATAGGGCCTCATTCAGCTTTGCCGTGATTAAGCACATGCTCACTGAGCAGACGATTGCAAGTCATTTTTCTGTCATGTCCCCTTCCTGATTTTCTCCTAACCTCTAAATCAAAGTCAGCTGTAAACTGCAATGAGGATTTCATTCCAGATGTAATCCAAGTTCTGGACTTGGCGAGCCGTAGATGCTGTGCAAAGGAGCTGCGGCATTTTAAAAAGCCCTGGCCAAAAGTTTTTAGGTAATCCATGTTCAGTGTTGTGGAATTAAAAGTGAAAAGAACTTCAGGTTTTCTACATTCAGAAACCCTGAATAAATGTTGCTAGAGCTCAAAAAAAAAAAAGCTAAAAATACTTTAGGCCAAGCCTGGAACGGTTCAGAGAAGTTCAAGCCCTCTGTAGCAAGGCATAAAGAACAAAACCCTGTTTAAAGGGGCTGTAGCACACCTTTGTAGTCAAGGGAATACAGTCACGTGAAAATATGGGTGGGGATTTTCCCAACACCCAATATGCCCTTCTCTTCCAAAATACACTTGGGGATACAGGGTTTTTTTAATCATTCACGAAGGTATTTTTACTGAAATGTAGCAATCCAGAGTTGGTGCTGGGGTAGGACTTACATTACCCAGATTCAGTGGTCCATGACTGGAATACTGTGTCCTGCAGTCCAGTATGCAGGGGTCCTTGCCGCACATTTGCTATGTGTATAAAGCACACGTGTGCATCATTGTTGTTTCCATCTTGCCGTTGAATCTTGCCTTTTGTGCACTCTTCACCAGACTCAAAGTTTCCTGGACCAAGATTTGTCTCAAATTGTTAACTTCTCTTTTCCATGGCACAGGTCTGCCCAGGAGGCTGAGATCTACCAGTCTGCTGTGGAAGGGCAATACGCAAGACGCTCTAGCTCTCCTGAAAGACGATGTCTTGGTTGCTGATCCAGGAACCAGGTCAGATATATTCACTTACAAGCTTCTGGTCTGGGTTTGTGTTCTCCACATATATTAGCCCCACCTGCAGTCTCCATGGCCAATGGATAAAAGACAACCATTCCTGAAGGGAGCTTCAGCCATCTACCCATACACTTGGCTTAGGCTGGCAAGAGTGACTGTCGGAGGTGCCGGGGGTTTTTTAATGTGTATAGAGCCTGAGTGTGAAGCCTAGGTCAGGCAAATTAAACTGCTATATTTAGGTCCAATGAGCCTTAAATTGTGGAAGATGCAGATTTTCAAAAGTGGAAAGGCATGTTAATCTAATTGGTTTAAATCATCATAGATTTCGCTTAAAATCATGCTATGTCAAGTGATTTGCATGTCTCTAGATTATCTGTAAGTTCTATTAATGTTTGTTACAATTTATATAGCCTGTTAAAAGTCTATTTGCTATGTCTGGAGTGATTATGTCTCTAGTGTCTCTAGATTATCTGTAAGTTCTATTAATGTTTGTTACAATTTATATAGCCTGTTAAAAGTCTATTACCTGAGTTGCAAACACTCAAAAATACGAACAGGATCCAGTGGACAGCAGGTGAGGGAAAGGATTCAGACTAACTGGGAAAAACTTTCTAAGTCTGCAAAATTTTTAGGGAATAGAATTACATTCTAGGGTTGCTGCGGATTCACCATGGCTTGAAGTCTGCAAGCTTAGAAAACTCAATGGCTCGATCATGGCAACCTTGTATTAGTTCTGTCCCATGTCATGTAGGAGGTTACAAAAGGTGTTCCTTAAAGGATTTTAAGACTTTAATACCATCTTCTTCTTCAGTATTTATATTATGCTCACCATTAAGATACACAAGGACATCCACTCATAGTCTCTCAACACCTTATTACTTGACATGTTGATAGTTTTAACTCTGTCTCCCTATTCCTGGATATACTTCACAGTTAACAGGTCATTTTTGTAAAGGAAATTTCCATTCATTG